AGCAATTCTATTCGAGCTAGAGACTTAGAATCACCACTGCAGGGGCCCAGACTGATTGCTTTCTACAGAGCTTCAACTTGGATAGTTGAGTGACCCGGCACCTACTATAGTTATGCGCACCTGTACATTTTTTGAGAGCCAGTGATGGGTCCGCCAAGAATCTCGACAGTATTTATCGTCTCGTTCCACCAATTAATCCTTCCAGAAGCAGCCACTCCTTCACAAAAGTTGATTTCCGCACATAAGGTTAGGGTGGAGTCTTAGCAGTTGACCGTAGTAAATCTTAAGCCAAAACCTCGAAGGAGGCGGAGGTAGTGCTGTGGCAAGCGGCCTGCCTACCGCGGGCTTCCCAGGAGTCGAATTGCCAGATCTACTTCAGCCAGCAAACCAAGCCTTCTACACTCCGGGATGGGTGAATTGGTACCGGATTGCTTGGAGAGGACAAAAACAATGGTTTTCACATTGGTCAGCTCGGAGACCGTTGTAGTATAGGCCTGCTGCAATCAGTAAGCCTTTACAATTGTGAATGGGAGCTGAATGCATACCGCATCCCAAGAAGGGATTGATTAACAGCAAGAGCTTCATCCCTTTTCTCCCCTCCAAAGCGGTTGTTTTCGCTGTCAAAAGGCCTGAAGTTCCTCACTAACGGATAGAGATACATGGAAGAAGTACATACTGGATGCACTCAAGTAGCGATTCACTCGTGAGAAAACCATTTCTCCAGACACAGATGTTGCCCCCTTTCGTGGCTTGTATTTACAACAAACGCGCTAAACGTATACGACTTGGGCCCACTAGGCCCTGCCAGTCTACGTGGAATGGCACGCGTTGGTGTCTCTCGTCTCGGTTGTGGATGCGTTTTCTGGTCCTTGTTCTCACGTCTATAACCTCTTTTCAGAGTTTGTTGAGGTCCCTTTTTCCTCCAATCGTCTGAAACAACTATTATCGACAAGGGTCACATTTGGGGCAATTTCTACCGTTTCTTCCGACACGTCTTTCACTAGCTTCGCGCCTGCACCTTTGAACATCCATACTTGAGTACCAATACGTGCGACCTGTGATTGCGAAGTGTCCTCAAAGACATTTCCCGCGAAATGCCTCGTGCATTTGGCATCGTTGTCCGCATTCGCAGAGAATATACCACTTTCGTCACTCGAAACGGCGAGATAAAGAAGCTAGAGACGCGTGATTATTGCAACCATTGCAACCACGATTACTTTCACTCTGCAAGACAACGGCTTACAAGCGGATTGCGTGTGTACATAGCGTTGCCTGGAGCGTCGTAGGGTGATTTCCTGTGCTCTTGCCGGGAATTCCTTGCTGATTGGACTTGCCAACATCCGACAAACTCATCCAAGGCGCGGGCTCCACTGTTTGGGGGATTTCTGTTCAGAGTGTTGCCAAGGTTTTTTCTTCTTCTTTCTCTACTGCGGAGCTACTTACGGGTTACTGATAGCTCCATAAAGTGTTTTTAGGGGCATGTTTAGTACCCTGGCGCTAGCTTTCACTACTCCGAGCAGTCCTCGTTAGCGATATCGAAACTTCATATAATAATTCACTGCAGTCAGCTAATTCTAGTCGTCCAACACTGTACGTCAGGTTGGACGATGGAGAACGATCTTGGAATCTTCACACCTTCTCATGCTATCCCGCTTCAATGAGGGCGTAGTTCTTCTACAGCTCAAGAAAGTCAGCCCAAAGGAATTATAAAAGACGAAAATTCCATCCAAATCCTTTAGGATCAAGCTGGAGAAGCCAGTTGCTTCACGTGATATCACAAGGTCTGATGGGTTCCCTAACGAAAGCCTCCGTAATGGACAGCGCTGAGCTGCTTCTCTTTATGCCCTCATCGACATGCTTCATTTGGAATAGCCCTCACATCCACAATTCAGTCCTATTGAACCAAGCCCGTTGTTACACGCCGTCACCCGCTGAGGTGAACGGCGGCACCGGACGGAACCAATCCTTTCATATGGCGCCTAAAAGCGGAACTGGTTAGATTTGCAGAGAAAAGACTTCACAAGGATAGCCTTGGCGACCATACCCAGCCTTTGAGGCACGGCTCACAAGGCTCAACGGTGTTTTATAAATAGTCGAAGTGGGCAAGGATATAAGGTCAAGGAGGCTAACCCCAACCTATTGCCGGCAGTTCAGTCGGGGAACCATTGATCGGTCTGAAGGAATGATGTGTTACAAGCAGGGCAGCGCACATTGGGGTTTCCTAGCATTTGCCTTTCAGAAAAATAATTTCTGACTTCTGGTGACTTCTGATTTCTGGTTATTGACTTTTCTCCATTTTCCTGTTTCGAGTGCGTTATATCCCCCCTCTCCTTCGCATTCCTCCGACAGCTGTAAATCTTCGTATTTAATAATCTCCAGTTTCTTTTTTGCGCACAAATGCGAGAGAGGAAGGGAAAGGAATCTGGACAATTTACTGAAAACAGAAAAACTCGGAGAAGGTTGAGAGGGCGAAAAGTTTAGCACAGGCACATCTGTTGGGGATCCCAAAACAGGGGTCAGTATTGGCGCCAAAGGGGGGGCGCTAGTGAGTCGCAGCCAGTAACGACCAGCGCAAATTGTCAATGTGCTGAGTCCTGTACAAACGAAACTTGCTTTAGAGAACTCGGATATGCAAAAAAATAGTACAAAACTTTCATTCATCAAACTAATCCGAAATAACTGCAAATATTAATAAGTCGACATCATCTCGTAGTCCGTTGGTGACTAAACAGTACAAACATCATCTGGTTCGCTGCCAATGATATGGCGTGTCGCGTCGGCGCTTGGCGCTAGCAACCCTTTTTTTCTCGACAAGCGACAGGACTACCATATCGTTCATATCAGACGTTTTCCAGCAGTTGGTCTCCTTTATCGGAGTCAGCGATTGGCAGAGCACGAATCTGGCAGCGTTGACAGGGACATGTTCCATCATACGCAACGGAAAACACTGTAAACAAGTGCACAGGCTCGCCATGGACCTCCCTGAACCTATAGCACATTTGCTCCGGACAGACATTACGCACAAGTTGCACCATCCCATCACCTCTGCGCGGCCCTCAGTGCGCGGCGCATCCAAAGTTGGCGTGATCGGCGCTAAACGAACCATATCCTGCTCCTGCTCCACCACAGGATACGTTCTACATGCGTTCCTGGCTATTCGAACACGCTCACTAAACCTACACATAAACGGTTTCTTCGCACATCTGGGAGCGCTTCCCAAGAATCCCCATAGCGAGATCTCATGAATCCGAGAGCTTCAACAGTTCAAGAGGTTTTTAGAAAGAGAAAATCTTCAAACACTCGGATCCGTTCTCAGATTTGTGAAATGTTGAGTTACAAAAAAAATATATTGGTTCAAACCTGTTCAACTTAAACTTCAACCCTTCACTCCCCATGGAATCCCTATGGGCAGATTTCTCTGTGATTTTTGCGACCTTCATAAACTTTCATACATTTAGGAAGGCCAAATTCCTCCCTCACTACGATAGCGTCTCCTCTTCCCCACAGGTCGCTTTTGAGGAAGTTATGGTCCTTCAAAGACACCCTACTTTGCTGAAAATTCTCGCTCCATGGCTAAAATTGCCGAACGATCTGCGGTCACATCTGCAATTACATGCGCTTCTGCTACCGTACTCCAATAATCGGGTAATCATTTTTACGGCGGTTTGTATAACCGTTACGTAGTGAGACAAGCCTAACTTTCTCTTTTCCTCGTCCTCAATCTTGGGAATAGACGTTGTTAACACTGTCCTATGCCGCTCCCAGAGGTCCCCCTCAGTTAACGAATGCCTCATTGAATTAATCGCATATTTTTATTATTACCATGTGGTTTCAACGGCCTATCGAAAGTTCATCATACGAGTTTTCTCAAATACGATGGTACGTTTTTTGTTTGAATCATCTCTATGTCTATTATGTCATGACTCAAGTCGTCCATTTAGTATGGGCACCTTCATACAAGTAGAATTTCATAGTGGGCGTTTCATAGTTTCATTTAAGGCGAAAAAAACCGAACGGCAAAAAAAAGGGGGGGTCGTACCGAACCCCCAAAAAAGGGGGGGGGTCGTACAGGCTCGACCAAAATCCCCATCAATCTTTGCCCTTGGTTAGCAAGATGCCAGGATCAGGGGCACATCGTTTTTGAATTCCCAGGTCTTTCGCGCGGAAGAATTTTTAGATTACTGATTTTTCTGTTTTCGACTTACGATTTTCTTGTTTCAGGTACGGGTAAGTGGGAAGGATTGCATTTGCTCGTTGTCGTTTTATAGGAAGAACTCCCTTTTGAGAGAGAATGCTGACTTTAATGCTTCATGTACTAGATATACACCCCACCGCACGCTCGAGAGCGAAATTTTTGGGAAAAGCAGGAAAATTTTCGGGAAATTCCGGAAAGTATAGCGAATTAGGAAAAATTGAGAAAAAAGTGGTAGAGAGGGAGATAGCATTTTCCTTGCGCTTTCTAGTTAGTTTCACATGTGTTGCCGTCCCCTTCCCTCCCCCACGCTCAACACTCGACGAGGAGAGAACCAGGCGGGTCAACTCCCTAAAAGGGTGAGCGCTTTACGGACTCGACCAAAATCCCACTAATATTGCCTTGGCAGATGAGCAAGGGTAAGGGGAGGAGGGGGTTGAGAGCTCAGATTTTTCAAAACTTCTCCTACGCAGACGCCCCGGTCAGAGTCGTGCAAGAAACAAAAACAACTTGTCTTATCCGAATTCAAAGGCCTCACTAGCACGAAACGCCCCTGACAAATTATGAAACCCTCTTCCCAAGAATGTTAAAAGGTCACTCTAACAGTTTGTTACGCAACTGGAATTAGCCAGAAAAGCTGCGAAGCATGTTGTCGGCGTCACAGTGCCCAGTCACTCTCAAATAAAACGCAAGCCAGACTTCACGTAAATCATTAAAAGCGTCCCTGAGAAATTTCTCTCCAAGCTTTCTTGGATTTTTGCGTAGTGGTTTCATAATGCCGCAAAACACAAGCTCACCTGATTTGTTTGCCCATCGAGTCCAGGTACTTCCCGGAAAGCGTCTCGAAAGCTGGATTTTCTATGAGTTGTACCAGGTTTCCTGCCGCACGACACATTGAAAAGCTCGACATTACTCGACAGCAGGCCGAAGTCGCTGCGCCTGAAATGAATAGATCACGCCTGTAGGAACGCATCGAGAAAAATTTAACGTATGGAGTTGGTTGTAAATTCATGATTCTACGAGTTTTTTCGAGCATCTCCTAACGCTCTCTCACTCGTTCGAAAATTTCAGTCTGAAAACAGACTGCGTCCGCCCATCTTCCCCCGAACTACTCACACATATTTCGAATAAAGCAGACACCCTCCCAAACCAACAAAAACGAGCCCCTCCATGCCCTCCATCCCGACCTTCCTCTCACTGAGAATGGCCAGGCACGGCTTCGTCAAACCGGGAACCGAAGAATCCCTTCACTTTCTAACTCCGATAGCTCCACTCCTCTGCATTCTCTCCTTTTTTCAATGAATCTACTTCAATTCGCAAAAAAAAACTGGACCTTTCTGAGCACATCTATAAACTTGCCAAACGGTAAATTCCGGTTAACAGCGCGGAATTCCGTCCTGCCAGGCACATTGCTCCTAGTCCTCTTGGGGGATTTATCGTGCCAACTGCCTTAAACGAGCCCCCCCCCCCCCCCCTGAGTAGAAGAAGACAGCGCTCCTTCCAATGACATCCTCTCTCGCTCCCCTTCTACCTCCTCGGCTAAGTTTCATTATCACTAAAACAATTCAAAAAGCCATCCACAATTTGGTTAGATGTAGAAAACGCTCTCCTCCCTGATAATCACTGCCTCCTCGGCGCCTCGTGGAACGTTCTCAATCCATTGGGCTTCTATTGTAAGAACAGTCACACTGTGAGAGCTGTGATAAAATTCCTGTCAGCCGTAACGAAGCTGAGTACAGGAAAAATTGACAGGATTACAGGTCTACTATAGGCATCGGTAGTTATTAAAGGAGATCAGCCAAACTTCCCCCACCCCCCACTTTCAGGCTGCGCCCTTCCGCCCTAGCTCATGTCAGCCTACAATCGTGTTGAAACACTATGGGGTGGGCGGTCTACTTGTTCTCGGAGGAGTGGTATACTTCAGATAGTCTGGGAAGAGGGGAGGGTCGTATTGACACCTCTCCACGAGGGGTCTTACCTACACACCACATCACACATCACGATGCTGTACCCTGTTTCCACTATCTCTACAATCCCGTCGTTGATTGCTTCTGATGATGTATCCAAAGCTCCAGCCCTCCTCATAGATGAAACACTCCAAAAATCACCTGCTTCGAAAAAATACGTGCAACAGTTCTTACAAACCTACCTTGATAGGCAACTCATGACCGAACTCCTCAGACAAGGAAACATAGATTTCCATAGAAACTGACATAAGGAGTTCCTAACAGTTCACATGGCTACAGAAAATTAATGGGCTCATATAACATGATAGGTCGAACTTTAGACAAAGATTCCCTCATTGAATCCCTGAATACGAACTAGACTAAACCCCCATTGCCAGTTAGACTCCATACTCGGCTGAGATTGTCGTAATTTCGCGCATTGGCCATTAAAACACATTTGCCATTGTGTCGTTCACGTTCCTTCCCAATTCGACGACATTTACGGCAACGTTCCGTCGAGCGATGTTCATTCGTCGATGGAGAGCAAATGCCATCAAATGCAGACAAAGTTTCGATCGTGAATACACCAAGTACTTCTCGTAGTCCCGCTTTGCCATCACATCCGACCAATCTAACGCTGTCCTGAAAGAGCACTAGAGATTTCCTATGCTCTATTAAAAAATAATTACGAGGAGGCCCAGCAAAAATACTAAAATACGTTACTATACCATGAGTCATTCATATCTCAATCCCAAAGTTCTAGAGCGCGTGCATTTTAGGTGTCGCCAGACACGCCTGCCGCTATTCGTGCAGCTCATAACCGAATCGCACTCACCCTAATACTCCAAGTAGCTCCTCTTACCTCCGAGTGCCGTTATTGTTCTAGAAGGCTTGAAGGTGAAACTATGAACTCAACTATAATTCTAACTCACATCAGGTGAATATAACCCATACTCCAAGAACTTCACGAGGATACCTACTAGGTCCCGCATATTAATACTTTCTCGGTGCGAACTCTCTGAAAACGCATCTCAAAACTATTTTTTGAAAGTCTCCAAGCTAAAATCAACAAAACTATAACGTTAATTATTCATACTAACAACTATTAAAATCAATCATCATGGAAAACCACTATAAGAGATTCTGGCATCGATTCCTAATTATCTTAAAATCAGAAAAATTACTCTTCTTAATTCTAATAACGTCATCAAATTTGACTGTGCGCGAGATTATACTCCCAATGCTAGACTCCGCTTTTTCTCGTACTAGTTGGGTGAGGCACTTCCATTGCAGTACACTCCCATTTTCAGGTAGTGATAGAAAACAAATCGCTGTCCTACTCTGGGAAAGGGCAAATTGTTGCACAAAAGGACATACTCATGCAGCTAAAGAGAGCTTCAAACGCATTATTTATTTATTTATTATAATAGATTAGTGTGGTTCCACAAGGTCATAATAGCAGAAGAGAGCCTCAACAATTCTCAATGTCTCATCGGATAGTGGTGTCCGGTTGGTGTGGAAAAATTCTGAATCATTCTACGAAAGAAAGTGAGGAAGGCTGTTTGACAAAAAAATCGTTGCGAAAATCGAGCAGGCTCATGTTGCGTGCTTGCGTTTTTATGCGCCTATCCAAGAGTTTTTCCCTCGAGAATAAGTTCTGCAACAAAAAAACGTTCAGCGAGAGACGCACTGAAAGAAAGTGAAACAGACACCAAGTTACAACGTACAGGATCGCAACCACTCTTGTGTTGGCTCGATTCCATCTTTCAGGAACTGCTGATTCGATTTTTGAGATGAATTCTTGGCAAATACGAAAGTAGTCCCATTTTCCAAAGTAGACCGAAATGGAGTGCAGTGTATAGTGTAGTAGGTAATACAGTGGAAATTAGGGAAAAATGGCTAAACCAGGCTGGAAACAGCTGATCGCCGCGGTCGTGACGCGCCGCAGCCGCGTCTGCGACCCTTTGACCGCCTAATCAACTGCCCGGATGACGACTGTATTCATAACCACGCAAAATAATTAAGACCTGAGAACTTTTCATTTCCTACCATGATTCGGTAACACTTCCTTCTTAACTTGTGAAGCGAGACTCTATTTTGATCAAAAGGAATGAAATGCCTGAGCTTCCGCTCTTCTTCCTTCATCTCTTCAAAAGCACCGGATCTGAACTACAACAAAGACTGCTGAAGAGTCTGCATAGTATCGAGCGGCTGACTTTAGCAATTCGAGTACACTGCCTGCTTATTTGCCACGATTTGCCCTTTTTCGAAGTCCACAAGCGATTTCTTTCCTACACTACATGAAAAAAACAGAAAATTATGCCACTGGGACAGTTACCTGGAAGAAGAGAATTATACCACTGGGACATTACCACCCGAAAAAAGAATATAAAACAAGGGATGCAAACATAGTGTTTAAGGGAAACGGGGGGGGGGGGGGGGGGGGGTGGGGTCATGGGTGGGGGGCAAGTCAAGAACGGCTTTTTGAAAAAAGTAGAGAAACAAGTTTTCTGAGTTGATACTTAGATTCACCTCAGTATTGCATAGCGATATTCAAAGCCGGCACGTCGTGCGTAGTGTTTGCGTTTGGGAAATATATATCAGGTTCCTGCCCTCTGAATTACCCCCCCCCCCCCCCCCCCCCCCCCCCCCCCCCCCCCCCCCCCCCCCCCCCCCCCCCCCCCCCCCCCCCCCCCCCCCCCCCCCCCCCCCCCCCCCCCCCCCCCCCCCCCCCCCCCCCCCCCCCCCCCCCCCCCCCCCCCCCCCCCCCGGCAATTGATCCCACTCCTACCATGGACGTCCTAACCTCGTCAACTATCTTCCTCCAAGGATTTTCTGAAAGTCTGCCGCTTTTCGCAGTTTCTCTCAAAGCTCCTGCTTTTCCAAAAAACTGCCGTTGAAGGGGGGGGGGAGATAGAGGCAATCAAGACCCCCCCAGCAGAATCCCTCACGATGTGCCCTATTCAAAGCCTCATTTGAACTGACAAACTTGCTTAAAGACTTTTTCAGAGACATAGCTGAATGTCAGTTTTGAAGGAATTTCCTAGGTGAAAGTGAAATTATGCGTAGCAGAGCCACGGTATCACTTTGAGAAACTCCACCTTGCTAGTTATGGCCCCCTTCCTAACGATTTGTGGATTTCACAACTATGATATATACTGCTACCTGCCTGGATGACTACATTTCTGGCTGGAATTAGAAGTGTGGAGCATCCCCGAAAGACTGAACAATCTGGTCCTTTCCCCTTCATCTCTGAGCATTCCCGACCCTAAAGGGGCCGATCATGTTTATAATATTCGCAGGCGTTTAACCAGTGTCAACGGAAAAAGGCACTCCATATTGAGCCGACGTCGATAACCAGGAAACCCCATAAAAACACTCGACAAAGTCGGCAGCGCACACTCCCAAGAGAATGCTTCGAGATTAGATCGAGTAAGTGACGACATAGCCTGGTAGCGAGGAGCACGATGAAATTTGTGGAAAATGAGGACAATCAACTTGAACACCTACCAGCTATGCAGCACACTTCCGACCACCACTATCCTTCCATGGTTATTTCGTTCCAGAACGTCGACGAGACGATTACATAGGATGAAGTGGGATAGATAGTTCACCTGAAAACGTCTGGGCAATAAGAGAGTGGGAGAAAGAGGAAATGACGAGGAAAACCTCCACACGACCAAAAACAATCGATCAGCACAACAATCAACACGACAACAACACCGCAACAAGAACAAACAAAAAACAAAAGCGAGAAAACACCGCGTCCCCAAGGCTTTGCAAGCTTCACGATGTGCCATGAAAAATGGAATCGGACAAGTTTCTGCGTTTACGGACCCAGTCGCTCGGGGTATTGCTTTCGCAGAGATCAATAACATGATATATTCTTAGTTATGAAGCTTGTTTGCACTTAGTTTACCAGGGCAGCTGGAAGTTGTGAAGTCCAGATAGTTTGAATTTCGGAGAAATAAAATGGGAGATTTTACTCAACTAATAATCAAATGTATTTAAGTGGCTAAAGTATGATAACTGCTGTTGACGGGGCAGTTCGCGCTTCGAAAGTTACCACAAGAATGCTGAGTCGTGAGAAAAAGTCGGACCCCAGGCGGGACTCGAACCAGTCTCATCGCCTACCGGGGCAGCGCTTACCTTCACAGCTTACTGGCTCATAGTCTCATCACTACAGTCGTGTGAGTGCTGCAAGGCTATAGCACAAAAAAGTGGTTGAGCTGAAATAGTAAGAGCGGCTCCGGTGGGTAATGGAGTGCGCTCGGCCCATCAGCGGAACGAACGCAGCGAGTTCCGTCTAGGGTTCCAGTGCGCTCGAGCCCAGTCAGCGAGGAAATGCCGGGTTGCGAGTCCGTCGGGTCTGACTTTTGACCGAGCCCTAGCATTTTGTGACAAGCAAGTCTTATGCAGACTGTTAACCTAGGAAGCCCGCTACATGTACAACTAGTGCCCAATTTGTGCCGAGCCGGCCTTCCATTACAAATGTAAGGGTGCCTATGTCCACGGAGCGACCCTTCCCATCACCCAATGGTGACATTATTTCACTATCAACTGGCTCCTGGCCACCGCTGAATCTGCCCGACGAAGAATGCCATTCAACATAATCTATCCTTTCGAGCTTCGCTGCGTTTCAGACACTACTCCAAGATCAGGAGTACTATCCCCAGTAAGTCAAGGCGATACAACGCCAAAGAACTAAGGGGACTAGACATATCATTAAAGTCATCTCTCACTCTGTAGCCCGCAAAATAAACTGGGCGCTGGCTTGAGAGAAGGGCATTCACTTTCGCTTCTTCCTTTTTGATGGTTATAAGAAATAAACAGTTCTCATTCACTGGACAAGTTAGACCTGTAATACTTTGATGAAGCTGGCGAAAGTGTGTGCGGATGTGATTCTCTTTAGTCCAACGAATTGGGCAGCGTCTAACAAAGTGCCATGTACAATCTTGCGCTTAAAGCCATTTCGGTCGGCCCCACCAAGCCGACTGCGCTTATTAACCTTTTGGTCTATTTACCTGATGCTTGAACTAGATAGTGAGTCGAACCAATCAATCTCTTGGCGCTTCTTCGAAAATTAATCTGGATCTCATAAGGCTAAATGTGATTGGCTCCTCACAACTCCCTCGAAAAACCGCTATTATCTGCTCCCGGCACATCAATGAGGGAGTTTTCAGCCGCTGGAAACTACCAGTCAACAATTCTCACGTATTCATGAGACTTTTTCTTTACGAAATCGATAAGCTCAGTGGACGATGGCGTGCTCTGGCTAGTGATAGTTTCCATAAGGAAAGATGGCAGCATGGATGTGAGCACGAACTAGTCACGGTATGGCCCCAATTTCGGGCGGACGTGGTCTAGTGGCAAAGGGCATCTCTTACCACGAGTAGGATTCAGAGGCCGTATCCTGGATCAGCTCCTGTTCGTGCCAAGCTTCCCTCCAGGGCTGGTCAAGAATTTGTCTGAGAAAATAAAAGCACTGTGTTGTACATCGCTTCCACCCCACCCCAAGACATTGTATGGGAAAATGATTCTGAATGGAAGTGAAATGCGAGGCGCATCCTGCAGAGCCTGGAGAGCGAATTGTCAACGCCGGCAGCCGACAGATATCCTTTCATCCGTCTAATAGTTCCAATATGCTTTCATCGCTCAGTACAGTTCTGGGCGCTGTTCGGCTTTGAAGGGGCACTTTGCACTTTCGCTTGTTCCTTTTGTTAGTTCATTTGACAGGTTTCACATTGTTGTAGCTGCGAAATAGTTTGCCTCAGGATATGGGTGAATCGTGGAGCCTCAACTCCCTTTCCTTTTTTTCCTCCTTCTTTCTTTTCCAACCGCTCTTCTCTCTTCCCTCTTTCTCATTTTCCTCTCTTCAAATGCTCGGCAAGAAGATCCGATGAGAAAATTGGAGCCTCGCAGCGGAAAACATCCGGCTGGAAGAAGCTTTGTCACCGAAATGGTGTAAGGGAGTCGCTTTGGATACGGGATTTACCCCTCTCCAAAACGATTCGTACATGCTTCAGAAGGTTCCACTTGGTGTCCCTACCAAGTCGAAAAGTCGAACTGCCCCCAATTCTGGATAGAAGTAGAGTGCATGGCGTATCAGGAGACTAGATGAAATTAGCCAGTCTTTCCCATTTTGGAGGAGCAAAATTAACAGATACGAAACCACCAGTTCGGAAGCTCTCCCAAGGCTAGCTCTGACAGTGGAGTATCCCAGAAAGTGAGTGACACCCATCATTCCATTCCACTTTGGAGGGGCAAACTCAACAAATACCGAAAGCAGCAGCTTTGGAGTTCTCTCAAGAGTGGCTTTGACAGCGATTAGCTTCGAACACCCCTCAGTTCCTCCACTTCTCATGGAACCAGCGGCCGTGCTTTCAGATTGGTGTGCACGGAACAAACACAATTGCCAACACAGCTGAATACCCCAAGGGTTGAGGCAGGCTTAATTGTGCGACGCATATTTTGAAAACATGCTCGCACACACACACATGTAGACTACGATAGATTTGCATGTTGCCCCAAAATAACACCCCAGAATAAGTGTTCTCGACACAACAGAACGTTGACGGAAAGCTGTGCATGTCTTCCAGCCCTCGTTTTGCTTTTGTTTTTGCGAGTCACGTCAATCTGGACTATTCTCAAACAGCAACGTTGTTAGTCTCCAACAGCTCCGAGGATCAACTCTCCGAAATTAGGCCCATAAAAAGAAGCCTTCGAGTAAACTTGAAGAAGCCGGCTGACTCGAAATGACACCGTCTGTAGAATGCCCGACAAAGATGGAAGCTTGGAGAGAAATTGAAAGCCTAATGAAAGTCTATCGCTTGCAAATGCATGTCCCCGGTGTCCGAACGGCTCGTTGCGCTCACTCTATTACATTCCTCTGCCTACTAAGCCATCGAAAGCTACAAAGGCCTGCTTCCATCATCAGGCCTTTAATTAGAAAAAAGCCTTCATCTTTTGCAGGCGCATCAGGACAGGACCTGTTCTTGTATAAATCAAATCAAGGTCTTGCTCCCGCCTGTAGAGAATAGTATGAGGCGTAGATGTAGCAGGGGTACGCAGTCCAGTACAGAGCAGAGGGCGGAGGGGGAGGGGCCGCTTGGCGCTACCGTGCCGCTATTGACGTGTCATAGCAGGTCAAGTGCCGCGTTTTCCAGGCCGAATAACTCGTCCGAACAGATAATCTGCTGCGGATATTCGTGACTGACTGCATAGATCGCGCAGTCAACGTTGCGCTCCTGGTTGTCAGTTAGGAGCGGCAACACCAACGTTGTCTTCCAATGACCAGTCCGGGAAAAGAAACTATTTCGGTGGTTTGGACGAGCTGCTCTACCTGTACGACGGGTCGCAAGGTATCTCTCGGCACGTCAATAGCAACTTAATCGCGACAAAGGAGATACATCCCTTAGGGGTACATGCCTTAGTAAGGGCAGACCTGTGCTACACCTGTGCCCAATAAGGCATTTGAGCGCTCGAACATTGAAGTACAGATCCGACTCAGCGCTTGTCCAACTCAAACAACTTCTTTTTCTCAGAAAAACACTGGTTCAGTGCTACCCTATGTGCTTTCATTTCATAGGTCTATATGAGTATACACTTGGAAGCCTGCCAAACTCACACAAGGGTTTGCTAGCCATCCCAGCTGTTGAGAGTGGCGTATTTCCGAGACTTCTATAATCTACTACACCACATCAACTGAGCTGCAGACAGTGCAGTGTCAATGCTGGATTATTTTCTTCAGAAAAACTACACAAATCTACGAGAAATGCCACAACAAACAAGCCAAAAAAGCGTAAAGAAAAATTAGCGAAATATGCCCTACTGACGATTTCACTCTCGGATTACGGGAACACGTCATCTTATTGGGAAGTGGAATGCAAAAAGATAGGGAACACAGGGACTTTCGTATACTCGAGACATACCATTTCAAATAAGATCATCGTTGGGAAAACCTGTCCCAATTGCGCTCTGGTGGGGAAATCCATGTTGCGGCGACGAGGCGAAAGCGATATGTGCGCGGCATTCGAGCCAAGACCTGGTTGGCTGAACGTCAAAGAGCTGCAGTATGCAAGTAGACAACAAATACTGGCTAACTGCTATATGCCGCGGCAACATGTATCTCCTAAGCGGAGAGCTGACCGATCTATGCCGGGAATAGCAATTTAATATCATCAAGCCTCCTTAATTTTCCTTTCTCTGTCAGTTGGACGGTCCTCATACTAGAAATTCTTACAACTGAAACAACTCCTAAGCTCACGCCCTCCTCCCCCAAACTAGTCACCATCTTGTTTTCCATTTCAGTTGAATCAAACGTTAATTCTTATAACCAGAGCGCCAAGGCCTACGGAAAGGAACATAGGGTACTCCTTGTTCGCTAACGTTTTCTCGATAAATATCTCACTAGAACAGGGAGGACGATAGGGGCAGCACCAAACCATGCAAACCTCCACCTGAAAAGTCATTTCGAGGCCGTCCGCTGTTTCCGCTCGTCGTGGATTCAGCACGCCAGCATTGCACAACAACACATTCAAGTCCGGAAATCGGCTTTTCACTTTGTCGGCGAAATGGGCTACCTGAAATTGGAATTTTCGTAGTTCTTCACCATCCGCAGAAAATGATCGATCTCTTGTGAGTGAAACGAGATCAGTTAATAACTGCAAAGCAGTACAAATGGCTATATCATGCACATATGCGCGCTGAGCCATATGTGGATGCTGTTAAGTTCGATAAACTGGTATGTGTATTGCATAATTTCCCTACTCAATAAAGCGCTAACAATCTTTATTTGCTGAAGGATCTTGGCGTTTTCTGGCAGTACACTACACTGGTTTTGGTGAGTTGTGCATGGAAAGACAAAACCGCGCAACTGTCCACACGCTCATACTCTCTGTATATCATGTGTTGGCGCTGTTCACTCGACGGGGGGGGGGGGGGGAAGAGCGAGGCACTCTTTTTAATAGATTTGGTGCCAAACCCATCTAGGTGCCCTTTTTTTGAGTTGACACGTTTTAGGATGGTGGCTAGACGATCTTGCTCCAGCTTCACAAGCGTTCACAAGTTTTACCAGAGTGAGGTTTGTGAACCCACCAGGACGGCGAGGGAAAGCAATTATTATACAAAATGCCTCCGTCGATAACAGCGCCCGTTGAGACTACAGGCTTGAAGTGGGAAAATGGCGAAAAAACGAAGTGAAAAGGTCAGAAACCTGCACAGAAAGGCCTTCGTTCCTAACGAATCTGTGAGTAATTTCGGGACAAGCGTTTCCGTAAGCATCGTCCCAGTAACCGCAACGCTCGAAACAGCTGCATACGTGAACTCACACACTCTAGTTCGTTGCGGATGGTTGGGCGCGTCAGGCTGTATGCGGGTGTCACCCGTCAGAGGTGTTCTCTGGTGGCCTTCTGTTGCAAGGGCGGCATGCTAACAAAGAGTGCTAAGAAAATGAATATGACCATATGATACAGCCATATCATTTGCTGCGATTCAGGCAGCGGTCGGAGAGATTAATGGCTTGCGCAGATTTTAATCCCCCCTGACAACGTCAACCGCACCGCTGCGACTATACGTATATACCCATTCAGCACTAGAGCAGCTTCATATCAGTCCCTTTGATTCATTTTTTTTGCGCAAATAAAGCAATAAAAGCATTAGGAGTGGTCGTCCATTTGTGAGCGTGCGGGCGCGGTGGGCGTCCGGGTCGGTATGTTGCAGCTTGACAGGGCCTTATAAAAAGCACTTTCCAGAAAAGACGCTACGCAACGCCTGCTCAGGGGTGCGGAATTCCTTCCTGCCAGGCGACCAATTCTACTCGTCTTCAGGGGTTTATCGCGCAAACCGCTTTAATTTACGCGTTTTAAGAACTGGCATTGGAAGAGAGTCCTATATAAGGCACTTCGGGGACGGTTTTTTCTGCTTTTTCTTCAATGTTTGGTTACTTAGTACCCTGCCGTTCAAAGTTGAGTTCCACTAACTACCATCCGTCATTGAGGACTTTGCTTTCAAACAGTACCATTTAACACTGCACCTCTTTCGTGAGTTACAACCATTCCAGACCATAGCAATGCTATATGTTACTGTAGTTGACTGCTATCTGTTACTTTGACTCTTTGCCACTCAAAAGAGATCTTTTTGAAGGCGACTTCGGTCCATTGATGTTTTTTTGATGTGTTCCAAGACAATCTCTTTACTCGTCCCAATTAAGAGATTTAATCAAAGTGGTCGGAACCAGAGAGACCATTCCAAAACAGACGAGCATAGCACTGCGCTTCCTCTTTGCTTTGAGACCCACGCATTCCATTTAATCAGCACTGGTGTGGAGAGAAATCTTCTGCGACTGGACAAAAAGCAGGAAACTACTGCCTCCGTTCTCGAATCGCTAATTTGGTGCACGTGTAATGTGAAAGAAACGTTCGGCGAGCGGCGAGTTTGCACAACAATTTTGGAGGATTTCATGCTGCAATGGTGAAGGCGTGAGAAGAAACTGATCCCCCACCTCCACATGAAATTGAACCAAAAAAAGCAAATACGACGGGAATACTGATGATAACATAGCTAACTGGGAAGCTGAAGGAACGGAGCCAAAGATTACCAAGAAAAACTTGCAAACCTCCTTCATACTCGATAAATCGGCAGCAATGTAGTCCACATTTGTAGGGTTTCCCGTCTCCTTGACAATTTGGTCCCGAGTTGCCTGAAAAACGTGATGACGTCTATGTCAAGTCGAAGCTATACTTCATTCTTCATGAATAATCGTTTTCAAAAGGATTGACGTCTCAGTGAGACGTGGAAAATCTAAAAAGCGCCTTTACATCCGTAAAGGCAATGTCAGAATGAACGTACGTAATGTCGTATTTCTCGCAGAACCCAGAAATGTAACCCTATCACGGCCCTACTATTCGCAAAACAGAAACTAGAAATTTATAGAAAATCTGTCCTCGACAAGAAAGAAGCAGACAGGGATTTATTCTCCGAAGTATTTTTCCCCTGAACTCATCCATCAGACTATTTATGGGCGGTTCACACCTAGATATGCCACAGGAATGATGCTATAAGTTATGCTCAGAACTCTAGGGGTCTAACTACCCCAAGGATGAAATCCTAATCCAATCCACGAAATAACGAAGATAGGTTGGAGTCTAGCTCGGCTTTTGAGAGAAGGGCCGGTAAACGTATCTTGAAATCGCTCCTCAAAAAGAACTTACTAGAACAAATGCAAGCATGTAAAAGGTAGGTCCTTTGAAGCCCGAGTTGTTACCGGCAGGCGCTTCGTTCAGAGCCCAACAGAGTTTTGTTCCGGGCTGTCGGGTTTTAAAGGGTGGGAAGGGCATTTTGCCCGCACTTTCACTTCGTTCCCTTTTAGTAGCCTCATTTTGGCCAACAGATCTCATAATGTTAGGACCTGGAAAGTTTGTGAAGCTGCAAAACGGTACAAGCGGCTCCTTCGACTAGAAAAATTTACACGTTCTTACAAGGTGGCCCCTACAAGCTTCGATGAGTACCATTTGGTGCCCCCACCAAACCGAACAGCGTCGTTTGTTCAACACTGCACTCATTTCGTTAGGGCATATTCACGGTTACATGCACCTCCTAAACTTTTTTAAACCAAGTACCACTCTTCCCTCTGTCCCTCTCAAACCGTATATAAGTCACTTGTTTCTTGTTTCACACCACTCGGAGGCAGGGTACAGCATCGTGATTTTGAAACAGTGGTGTATACACCCCCCCCCCTTGGAGAGAGTGGTATCAGTACGACCCCCCCCCCACTTAAAGGCACGTTCCGCGATAAACTAAGGCTAGGTTCTCATAACCGTGCACGATGGTCAAGCAGGCAACGTCAGAGGCTATGCTGCTTACAAAAGTTGAAAAACAGCAAGCAAAACGCGGCGCGCTCAGCTTTTAGGCCCATTGGCGCCCGATAGGCCCATGCCGGCCTCCGGTGATCGTGTCGTTGTGACATTGCTATTGTGCTCTTTCGCTCGTCGTTTTCTGGCCTCTCTCGTCTCTTATAAGTGTCTCGCCGCCTCTTGCCATCCATAATCGATCTTGACCACCTTACGCTCGTCCGGTGATCATGATCAATTGAAATAGAAGAGGGTCTTATTGCGGGCGCTTTTTCGTGGTTCCTTCCCTTCAATAAGTCAACAACCACAGGGCAATTCTATTTTTGAACTGTATTACCTATGAAGTGTGGTCGCGGGAATTGCCTTTAATGAGGGTGTCGGTAGGACCTCCCCCCTCCCCCTTCCCCAACACTTACCTACCTTTTTCCTACATTTTCCAGTTTTCTCACCCACAAATTTTCCGTTGAGCGCGACGGGGAGGGGGTATACTGCTAATATGAAAACGGGAAAAACCGCGAGAAAGTCAACAACCGGAAAATTTTTTTTCCTAACGCGGCAAAATTCTCTCGAAGCCACATACGACCCCCCTCTCCCAACAACGACCAAATACGACCCCCCCTCCCCAGCCGAAAAGTACGACCCCCTATGTGTTTCGCACAACGATGCTGTACCCTGCTCGGAGGACAGTTTGGCGGCACTCTAGGGGCAAAATGTGCTATATGGGCTCCCCAACCTCGACTCCAGCGACCTTTTTTGAAGGATCACCATTGATTTCCCAGAAAGGGTCATTGTAGATAGAAGATTGATGGATAAACTTCATTGTCACTGCTCCATTAACGTTTCAATCTCCGATATAAGTCGTATGAAGCGAAATGCAAGAAAGCCTCGAATCCCCGGGGGAGAACCCGCTGAAGATGGAGCAGATCTAGCCTGTTGCACGCACACATTATATGATATTCATGGAAGAGCGAATGCTGGAGAGTCTCCAAAAAAAGTGAGTCTGGATGGAAAGCTTGACAATCACCTCGCATTTCTCTTCATTTCGTCCATGGATAATGACTCGATTATCCGGATGAGCTGCCAAATCGGTGGCTGTCTGCTTTCCGATGCCATCCGTCGAGCCGGTAATCAGAATCGTTCGTTTGAACGACCCGGGCATCCAACGTTCGCCGTCTTCACCTCGATCGGTGATTGTATTCTGGAATTAAACAGTAAAACCTTCACATCCATTGCAGCTATGACGGCAATGGCACGTAATGAAAAGCAAAAAGGTGACTCTCTATTAAGCTTCTCACGAAAATGAATCATGGAAAACAGAAAAGATCGAAATAGATCGTCGGGAAAGGAAGACGTCATAACCAGAAAACATCCATAATAGCTGTCATTTCAGTATAGCAATCATCAAGCCGTATATAGCATAAATGGGCTGGGCTTTTTCATGGGTATGTACCGCCGGTCCTCACAATAAGTTGTGGGCTTACTCTCAAATTAGCAAAGCACTTCCTAACTAGTTGACTTGACAATAAGCAGCACTACCACGTTGAATCGATCAAATCCTGGATGTGTGGAGCGTTAGTTCCTAGTCGCAGCATCGTGGAACGAGTTGACTAGGAGGGTAAAGTCGAAGGTCAGGCCAATGCCATGTTGAGTTGGGTCCTTGGTGCGGATACCATGTACGTCATCCCGCTGCAA